GCTCCAAAGAGACATATTCACTTATGCTGTATTAAAAATATGCTTCCAAATCTAACTTTCAATATAAAAACTCTAAAAGAAATATTCTTTGTGGAAAAACATATATCAGCCCAAACTGATAAATAAATAATTTCCATCATAAATGGAGCCTTCTCTCCCCAGTACTTAGATGACTTCAACTGTATTGACTTGTACCTCACATTATCTGTACATTATCTATTTAATGAATTATGCATGTTTATAAATATATTAATACAAAAATATTTCACCTGTACATCTTTACATTATCAATTTAATGAATTATGCATGTTAATAAATATCTTAATACAAAAATATCTCATCTGTACATTATCAATTTAATGAATTATGCATGTTTATAAATATCTTAATACAAAAATATCTCACCTGTATATCATGTAGCCATATTACTTTAAGCCGTAAGTATCACGGCTTGGTATATCTGCAATATTGTAATCTTGGGAACCAATAAAAAAAAAAAAGAAAAAAAAAGTATACCAGTATGGGATAGTGGTCAGATATACTGTAAAGCTGACGGTTATCTATGGCGTAACCAATGACATTACATCCATGCTCCCTGTTGACAAAAACATAATCAATCATAGTTTGGATACCCCTACATTTGCTTGTATAAGTATATAATGTAGGAAATTCCGTTCATGCAAGGCTCCAAGGAGCATTCTCGATCTAGACATACACAACTGTAACTCTCTAACTTGTGACTACTTAGAGAATAGTTGTATTTCATGTAATCTGTATATATCTATATAAATTTTAAATATATTATACTTATGCAATGGTCAGTATCGATGACGTCAAATACTCCATTTTCATGTTGTATTATATGTTGCATGGGAGCGGTGTTAATATAAGCAGTAATGCTTGTTCACCAATCTCAATTCATCTTCATGAATAGAAATATGTTTAAATCATTCTCGATCTAGATTTCATGTATTTACAGTCACGTAGATCTGTGTTAAAGTCACCGACCAGGACAGTCTCACCGTTATATGAATGTCTGTCATAAGCCTCAAAGAGGGTATTCATCCCTTCACTGTATACACTGTCCAAGACATTGGTAGATGGAAGACGTGCACCAATGATGTGGATCGGAGTCTTATCCGTAGTTAGCTGCACACAAATCACATGATCACTCCCCGGGATGTGCAGACTGGAGGTGGAGTAACTATCGTTTTCCGTACAGTGATCAGTCTGACACTTAACATACACATCGAAGTCTGTATGTAGATCTGTAAGGAGGGATAGCTGATCCGTGTGTAGCCAATTTTCACTGATAAACATCACATCTGTGCAGTCTAGTTTGGTGTTGATTTCGTCTAGACACGTAGCGGCAACGTTCCAAGTGATACTACGGGACAGCGTCATTGCCATAAGTAAAATGTTCATGACATTCATCATGGTCATTATTGTCTGTTATCACCGTACCATTGTTGCTTTGGCACCCACTCACGACAGTTGACGTTTTCGGGCCAGAAACAGTCATCATCTGCAATGACGTCAGCACACTTACTGGAGACAGCTATCCTAATGGTGTAGTTTGGGTTGTATCTGCTGTCACAATGTTTTAGCAGCACAGTGTTCGTGACAGTAACACCACGATCTGATGCATACTTACAGATAGCATCCTTCACAACGTCAAAAGGTTCTTCAGCACGAACATAACTGAGCACAAAACGCCTGTTCTTACTTCTGTGCACTCCAGTGAATGCACGTTTCCAGTGGTTGTTGAAAGTAACTGTAACATCTCTTTTGTCTTATTTGTTGTCATTACTCTGTCCACTTACTTCGTAGATATCGTAGTCATGGTCGTTATGATCTTGTGTGTCATATACTTGTGAAGAGTTCTTGTAAATGCAAGGTTTCTTTACATACATTTCACTGTACAAATTCTTTCAAATGAAATTGTTTACTAAGTTGTGACAATGGGTTTTTAGTATTTTATCCATGGTGGTCCAATAATTAAAACACTTAATTAATATCTAAAGTTCATTTCCATTTAAATCCTTATCAGTCAAAATTGTAAACAATGTGGCCCAGTAAATTTCCATTACCCTGTGGCCTTCACCTTCATGTGTGATGTCAAAGCTCACAGGTCACATCATGACCTCTCCAAAGCTTATGCATTTTGGAGCACATGCTTACTAGTGTGTATTGGACCTCCATGCTGCCTGGTTGTCACCAAGCTGACTGTAAGCTGAACTATGTAAAGACACATATGTGAGTACTTTACCCTTTCATTGCTAGGTTGTACTATCTCTAAATTACAATGAAATTGTATATATGCCAAAATGTTAATTGGCTGTGCCAAAATTGCTAATATATTTCACACAATTATTTGTAAATTTGTAGTTGTTACTTTTGCAGTTTCAATGTATTCACATATCATTCGAATGAAACATTGAATGTTATGTGCTATGAAATTTGTACATTTTCTGAATTTCATCGAACGCCATTGTTTGTTGTAGTTATCTGAACCTTATCAGCTCATCAGCAACTTTACTCTTCAAGTGAACGCAATAATATTCATCAAGTCCTCAGCAGCAGCCATTTATTATGAACTGTAATTTCTCAAATATCAATACATTAAACCCTGTTGATGCGAGTATCAGTTTTTGTGTTCTGCAGTAACAGTTCTGATCACTCATGCTTGAAGTGTGTAAATAGTATATTTACCAGACTGGTTTCCTTATCATCCAGGAATAGTCCATAAAATTCACACAGCACAAGAGAATGTATCCATTTCTTGAAGTAAGCAAGTGTAACTTCGAATGTTCTCAGTCACTTCAAGATCAGTCAACCATGACATAAGCCCGATAGCTCCCACAGAGTACATCTGGTCACCTCGGCGTACCAAGCCAAACACAACGGTTACAAAGTTCATAATTGCACAGTCGTGAGTGTTTGTGGATGTACATAGTTTGATATACATAACAGAGAAATGAGGGATGGTAACCCAAGAGTAAATAATTATAACATGTCCATTGTACTTTCCATTTTAAAGATACGATAAACTCTTTTAGCAATACCAATCAATAGTTGTACATTATTAGTTTGTAGCATGTTCACAAACTTTATCATACTTGGTCCGGCAATGACATGCTTTGGTAGATTCCTTATACTTAAATATTTTGGACAAATGAGCAAGATATGGTATTCATCTTCAACATCGTTCACACAAAAAGGACACAGGCGATCGTGTAATGGTGTTTTAGGTGTAGTCCATCTACCCTTTTCAATCATCAGTGTATGTGAACTCAATCTGAACCGTGTAAGAGCAATAATTATATCAATATGTACTAGATACTTTTCAAAATCTAAACAATCTTTAATTTGCAAATATAATCTAGTTTCACTCAACGAATATAAATCATTTCAGCATTCATCACACACATGACACATGTCAGTAGTCATTAGACACATGACACAGGTCGGCAGTCATCAGACACATGACACATGTCGGTAGTCACATGACACATGTCAGTAGTCATCAGACACATGACACATGTCGGTAGTCACATGACACATGTCAGCAGTCATCACACACATGTCAGTAGTCATCAGACGCATGACACAGGTCGGCAGTCATCAGACACATGACACAGATCGACAGTCATGCGCAACAGCCCTATAGAGACCTATACTATATTGAATACACAGTAAACACGCATACAGACCTATTGACATGTTATTTCGGATCACGTATGCGTCGACAAGATGTCAAACTGATGACTACCACAACTCATGTTTGTATGTGAAGAGGAGTGAATATCTTGCTCTTGTAGATGTTATACAGTTAAAATTGGGTACGGGTGTTCGTCCACAACCAAACCAAACCGGTTTCCACTGGTGCTGCAGGTACATTCGTGCCGATAAGAAGTTGGGAGCATACCATCTGCTTGGCATTCAGGGAAGATATTTTCTCATGTTTTCTCTTGCCTTCTCGAAGATTGTTGATTGCATCAACCAAACTGGTAACTGACCTGATGTCTTAACGTTGAGAGAAAGTCACCATTAACATATTTTGTTAACATTTAAACATAACATTGGGTTAAACTGTCCAAGTCGGGTGAGGACTGAATGATTCAGCACTCCTTTACAAGTTGATTTCAATAGTTTCAATAGTCACACCCTCGATTAACATTTTGAATATAAAGTTCTCTTTATTCTACAAAGTAGGTCGCACGTTCTGGCGAGCACGAGTTTTTTTAAATCCAGGTACATTCATGTAATTCAGTGTTATATACAATTCAGGGTGACATAACTACCTCGTCATTGCGCGCATCATTTGAACTATGCTTTATTTTCGCTTCATGAAAGGTTTCATGCAAAATAGCACGACCGCATTAAATGAAACAAGGGCTCATTCACATTATCATATGAATGAGTTCTCGTGCATATTAATCAGGGATCCGGCAGAGCAGCTTGTACTTCCACCAACAATACCACTGACGATAAATATGCATTGTGTACATATCTATCCACATTTATTGAACTTATTTCAGATATTATAATCCAAGCATATTTACATTCATTTTCACTTACATGACGTAATGCTCTCTCTCTAGACATAAAAGTGTGCTCATCTTCACCTTTAGTTATATCCCCTATGTATCTAGCTTCTCCTTAAATATAATAAATATTGACATTCCTTATTTAAGTTGTTTGTATATATTTCATGTATTCTTATTATCCTAAATCTATATGCAATGTATCGCTGTATATGATTTATCAATGTTGTACACAAAACCACTGTTTTGTTATTTGCATTCTATATTGTACACAACAGTAAACTGCTTGACTGTAACGGTTTCTCTTTTTCTCATTACGGGTACAATCAAGTTTCCAAACACGGGCCTAAAGTTTGATTATAATATGTAACCAATATTCAGGAACAGTGCTCACTTGTACCCAAGTTCTACACTGAGATGCAATGGCTAGTGTAGAATACACACAGTACTCACGTCCGACTGATGGATTCCAGTCAGTGTCATCCGATTTTGTCACAGGTAAGTCCCCACCTGATAATCACTCATGATGCTGATGGTGATGTTCGGATTTTTGTATGTCGGATGATGTGTCTGTCCTAAGCCCGAGGTTGGTGCATACAGCGTGTAGCATGTATACTGAGGCGACTGCTACCACTGCGTAGAGGTCGCCTAATCTTGTAAAGCAACAATCCTATTTTCGCTTTCATTTTCAAAGAAGCACAAGGCTTTTGTAGGCCAATGCATTATCCAGTGTTGTGTCGAGTATTGGCTGTCACCAAGACAACCGTTATGAAGGGGTTGCCTGGGGTCAGTGTGATGAACCAGAGTTAGGCATTTAGAAAGTACTGGGCCATGAGTCAGGGCACTGAACACCGCATTTGTCTGCAGTCAACAGACACATGACACAGTTCGGCAGTCAAAAGGCAGTCAACAGACACATGACACAGATCGGCAGTCAGCAGACACATGACACAATGTCATATCGGCAGTCAGCAGACACATGACACAGGTCGGTAGTCAGCAGACACATGACACAGGTCGGTAGTCAGCAGACACATGATATGACTGCAGTCAGCAGACACATAACACATGTCGGCAGTCAGCAGACACATGACACAGGTCGGTAGTCAGCAGACACATGACACAGGTCGGTAGTCAGCAGACACATGATATGACTGCAGTCAACAGACACATGACACAGATCGGCAGTCAGCAGACACATGACACAATGTCATATCGGCAGACATCAGGCACATGGCACATGTCAGCAATCAAGAGACACATGACACAGGGTCAGGGATATGGAGACCGCATTTGTCGGTAGTCATCAGACACATGACACATGTCAGTAGTCATCAGACACATGACACAGGCCGGCAGTCATCAGACACATGACACAATGTCATATCGGCAGTCAGCAGACACATGACACAGGTCGGTAGTCAGCAGACACATGACACATGTCGGCAGTCAAAAGGCAGTCAACAGACACATGACACAGATCGGCAGTCATCAGACACATGACACAATGTCATATCGGCAGTCAACAGACACATGACACAGGTCGGTAGTCAGCAGACACATGACACAGATCGGCAGTCATCAGACACATGACACAATGTCATATCGGCAGTCAACAGACACATGACACAGGTCGGTAGTCAGCAGACACATGACACAGATCGGCAGTCAGCAAACACATGACACAATGTCATATCGGCAAACATCAGGCACATGGCACATGTCAGCAATCAAGAGACACATGACACAGGGTCAGGGATATGGAGACCGCATTTGTCGGCAGTCATCAGACACATGACACAGGTCGACAGTCATGCGTAACAGCCCTATAGAAACCTACACTATATTGAATACACAGTAAACATGCATACAGAACTATTGGCATGTTATTTCGGATCACATATGCGTTGACAAGATGTCAAACTGATGACTACCACAACTCATGTTTGTATGTGAAGAGGAGTGAATATCTTGCTCTCGTAGATGTTATACAGTTAAAAATGGGTACTTTGTCGGGTGTTCGCCAACAACCAAACCAAACCGGTTTCCACTGGTGCTGCAGGTACATTCGCGCCGATAATAAGTTCGGAGGATACCTTCTGCTTGACATTCAGGGAAGATATTTTCTCATGTTTTCTCTTGCCTTCTCGAAAATTGTTAATTGCTTCAACCAAACTGGTAACTGACCTGACGTTTTAACGTTGAGAGAAGGTCACCATTAAAATATTTTGATAACATTTAAACATAACATCGGGTTAAACTGTCCAAGTCGGGTGAGGACTGAATGATTCAGAATATAAAGTTCTCTTTATTCAACAAAGTAGGTCGCACGCTCTGGCGAGCACGAGTTTTTTAAATCCAGGTACATTCTTGTAATTCAGTGTTATATACAATTCAGGGTGACATAACTACCTCGTCATTGCGCGCCTCATTTGAACTGTGCTTTGTTTTCGCTTCATGAAGGGTTTCATGCAAAATAGCACGAGCGCATTAAATGAAACACGGGTTCATTCACCTTTCTGACCTGTGACGTCATGCATTCATTAAGAATTGAATGTCACTTTGTGTGTTTGCACTTAAAAATGTGATTTTGGTTAAAATGGTTGGACAAGCCCCCAATACTATCTAAATATAAAGCTTTGCAACCTATCGGGCTTACACGAAAAATTGGCTTGCTTCTCGCCTGGATGAAAGGTTTGATTCAATTCTTATAATTTCTCACTTTTATGTTTACACATACGTTTCTTACCCACTTCTGCATGATCATTGTTTACAGTGATGTGTTTTAATACCTGTAAAATGTTGTAATGTCATTCTGTTCAAGACCGTATTGTAGCGATGTGTGTATACTTGGCGATTTTTTTACACATGTATCCCAACCCTTGAAGAAATAGTTCTCAAAGTATTCCTTAAAATATTACACCAAATTCGTCAATAGGTTTGAAACTGCTTTAATAAGCATAACATCAATAAAATTATCAAACAGAAACAAATAACAATAACAATATCATTTAAACAAACTGTCATTGTACCTATAAAACTTTGACGGATTCGTTTGACAGCGTAATAATACACTGACCGATTTCGAAGTTGTGCGGCGTGGCGAATAGGAAGCAGATCTCGTTGGTGAATTCTATTTATTTGTGATTGTTTATTGTGAAATTTAATTAGCAGCTTTTAAACAGATCACGGGGCAGAACCCGCAAACCGCGAGAGATTAAACTCTTGTGATAAGGAGCAATGTTCGGCAATTGGAAATCCGTTTTATCGTGAAGAAGCGACGTTGACAACATTGGGGTGACTTGAAACAGGATCGCTCGCTAAATTGTCATCACCAAATGCAGCAAGATCATTGGGGTTCTTTGAAACCGTAGCGGAAATTTGAAAATGAGGTCGCACTGGCTGGGACTTGTTGTCGGACGCGTTGTCGGTCAGATTTTTTCAAAACTGTGCTCAGTTGGTGCTTTTTCTTACATACAAAAACAAGTAAGTGATATGTATAAATTAAAAGGAGTGTGAATACAAATCAAACCTTTCATCCAGGCGAGAAGCAAGCCAGTTTTTCGTGTAAGCCCGATAGGTTGCAAAGCTTTATATTTAGATAGTATTGGGGGCTTGTCCAACCTTTTTAGCCAAAATCACGTGTAAGCCCGGGCTTTTTTTATAATGGTAGCAACACCCCTGACAACTTTAATGGACGACAACCTAATAATGACTGAAATGCAATGGCTAGTGTAGAAGACACAGTACTCACGTCCGACTGATGGATTCCAATTAGTGTCATCCGATTGCGTCACAGTCCTCCCACATGATAGTCTCACATGATATAGATGGATTGATGGATTTTCTTGTATCAGATGATGTGTCTGTCCTCTGCCCGAGGGTGGTGCATACAGCGTGAAGCAGGTATACTAAGGCGACTGCTACCACTGCGTAGATGCCGCCTACTTGTACAGACAGGATCTTAGTTTTTTTGCCTGGTCACATGACGAGTATGTAGGTCATTGCGTCACCCGGTATTGTGTCGTGTATTGACAGCAGCCACCGCAGAGGGTTGGTAACCGAATACCCATCTAAAGTAAAACTCCAAACAAGCGTTAATGGCGGGACTTTATGTCACCGCCACAGGCACATAACACGGGTTGGCAGCTAACAATCACATGACAGAGGGAGGTAGTCAACAGATACGTGACATATGACACAGGGCGGTAACCAACAGACACATGACATATGACACAGGGAGGTGGTCAACAGACACGTGACATATGACACAGGGAGGTGGTCAACAGACACATGACATATGACACAGGGCGGTTACCAACAGACACATGACATATGACACAGGGTAGTGGTCAAAAGGCACGTGACACATGACAAAGGGCGGTGGCCAACAGGCACGTGACACATGACACAGGGCGGTGGCAAACAGGCACAATACATATGACACAGAACAATGAACAACAGACACATGACATATGACACAGAGCGGTGGTCAACAGGCACATGACATATGACACAGGGCGGTGGTCAACAGGCACATGACACAGGTCCGTGGCCAACAGGCACATAACACAGGGCTGTGGTTAACAGGCGCATGACATATGACACAGGGCGGTGTCCAACAGACATATAAATGCCCTTTAGAGATTTAGCTGATGCCACAAACAACTTTCCATGTTGCTATTTCATATTATGGAAAAGAAATCGAAAATTAATAATTATTGAGGATTTGTGTTAAAGCGAAATTCGGAATTTTCCACTTGTATGGGAGGATAACGTAGATTAGCACACGTCACAGCTGCTCGTCCCTTTCCGTGACCTACAAGAAAACACGTCACCTGAACTGAACTTTACTTCAACTTCGGCTGCAGGCAGAGGCATATATGAGGTTACATATGCTTTATAATTAAATACATCCATACAGTTCTAAACATTATATGTGCTGTCGAGTATTTCATATATACAGATGAATAAGTAATACAATATAAGTCCAGATATTTCTTCTTGCCAAGATTTGAATTCTATATATTTATTGCTTATAAACCTGCAGAAATCACTTGTGTGTGTGTATGTATGTATGTATAATATACATACATACATACATACATACATACATACATACATACATACATACATACATACATACATACATACATACATACATACATACATACATACATACATACATACATACATACATACATACATACATACATACATACATACATACATACATACATACATACATACATACATACATACATTCATTTTTCAGCCACTTTGCGACGAGGGAAGCTGGCAGTGTCAGAGAGCTGTGGCTACAACGTTTCATGTTTCACATTCTGTAATTTGCAGGTTATGAAACATGTACGAACAACCACAACATGTTGACGATCGACCCCGTTCAGGGCGCGCCACGTCAATAATACATGATCGATTGATCCGAAATCAGGATGTACGAATTCGAGCGCAAATGGCGAATCAAGTCGGTTTCGGGGTCTTGACCATCCGATCTATTTAGTTGCCCCATACTAACAGTAGAGTTTGGTGGGGCAGATCCCAGCCGGAAATCATCACGGGTCACAGTACAATCAATAAACCAATCAAAAGGATGATATTGCAGGTGTCGCCACAGTTACCTTCTGTGGCTAGTTGTTTGAACAATGGGGCATGTTCCCATTTCGTCTACATCCTATTTCGCCTACAGTCTTAAAACAACAATTCATGGTCTGGTGACTGTTATTTCATGCATGAGTAATAAGTTTACGCCCTTCAGATATAAATGGAATCCCCCTCTGTTTCCCTTTAATTTGATTAACTGTAGCGCATGTAGACAACATGGCTTTTTGCATTAAAGTAAAAAAAATGTTCTTCTTTCATATTTGTTATTCACAGCAAATCATAGTACAATATAATACAATAATCAAAATACACTGGCTGTTAACTAGTACACTGTACTTGAGTTCATAGATTTCTGAGTTTATTAAAGCTTCAATAAGTGACCTGCTGCATCCTGGAGCTGAATAGGCGATCTTCTTCCAGTTTCAAGTTGTCTCTGTCAGTTGAGACACTGGTCAAAAACTCTGTAAGCTCGTGAGCGTGTCCGAGTTGTTGCATCTTGTTGGTGGATTCAATGTTCTTGATAGCTGTTATGAATTCATAAATGTTCGGATGGTGCTTTCCCACAAGTTTTTTTCCGACCATTATGGTGCTGCATCTTCCTTTACATTCCTGGATCACACACTTCCAGTGTGTAGCTAGCTGACGCTCCACATCCAGGCGGTATATGTGACCTGCTTGTAACATTTGTCTTCCTCCCCTCTATATGTGACCTGCTTGTAACACCTGTCTTCCTCCCCTCTATATGTGACCTGCTTGTAACACTTGACTTCCTCCCCTCCGTGACCTGACAAACTCTGCTTGCTGAAGATTAGCCATTTTCGATGGCTTTCTGGCCTTTTGACTTTCCCATTGCATACATCAGTATGACATCATCTTATCTCATTTTTAAACAAAGTAATTAGTTTTAACTTTGATCTTTTGATTTTATATTGAATAGCTAATTAAAACTATGTACACAATCCTTTTTACTCAAGTGCAACAAAAGGATTACTATTTGTTTATAATCACAAACTGTTGTAAGTATGTCACTGCTACTTTTGATCTTCTTAGCCGTAATCCTTAAGTAAATTTATGTAAACACTGGTTATAAGTTGACTCCATTTAAAAACAACATGATATACTTATCTTTTTACTCATACATTGTGAAACTGACATTCCTTAATTCCACAAGTCCATTCTCTCAATAGGGGTGCATTTTCTATTCCCTATTCGCCTACATGTTTACTGTAGGCAAAATGGGATGTAGGCGAAATGGGACTCAACCGAATAATGGCGGTACAATTGCGCCTTGATCTTGCCGACAACCTCATCCAGTAGATTGCATGTCTGTATCAACCATGGATACTCCAGACGGAACCGGAAGTAGACAACATGCGTCATCAGTACCCCAGCATGTTATTCCAGGGAATAGAGGCGGTTCCAAGTAGGGGCGACATGCGTTGTGTGACTGCGCCTCATCAGAATGTATTATGGTGTTGGGCGGCATCACCACATTGTGCAAAGAAGATCCAGAGGAGAGTGTAGGTACAAAAGGCTGACGGCCCCTGTTTACCAGTTTGGAAGGCTTGCAGGCGACGTCTTAAGCTTACAGGACGACAATCCCCGTGCTAACTGCCCAAGAACCGCAGGACAATATAGAATACCCGGAATGGTTCCCACCTGAACATGTATGGCACGCGATAGGGAAACGAGAGCGTCAACTTCACAGTGTTGCGCACTACTGATCCAAAATGTTAACACTGAAATTTCCCAACTTGTCCCTGTCGTCTCCAAGTTGGTGGCAAGGTCAAGGGTTTTTTTTCGTTTTACTCAACAACGCCACCAATGGTGGTACATGAGCTATAATATAAAATCATGAAAACAAATGTTACAATATGGACAAAGCCAAAAATGTAAATGGAAATCACAACAAAAACAAAAACAAGCCGCATAGTGTGATATAATAAATATATACGGATAACAGAAACGCATCATAATTAAAGAAATTGTTTAAATGATGTACAGTATACATACAATTAAATACAAGAACATTTACTGTCATACGTCACTACTGGTTGTAATGTGGCCCCTATTTGTTAATTATCAAATTACAGCAATTATTTATGTCTCCTAATTACAATTTTTGAAAAGGTTATTTCCGAGTGTCCACTGTCATTTTTAAACAGCATAGATGAAAACCACGTTCTCAAGTAACTGCTGACTAAATGTATGCTGGCGTGCAAAAGAAAGTGTACGACTCTGTTCTGAAATGAATTTCCCAGAACACGGCATAAATATAAAAAATATAAAATATTTTGACAGTTATGAACGAATCACAAACAACATGTACATGTTGCTCAGTCACCAGTTGAGTTCTTCAGTTTGTTTTTAGTTCAGGGTTTCCCAAATATTTGACGAACCATGGTCATATGTCACGCTCACTGAAATATTTTATTCATGCACGGTATCAATGAAATTACGTACTTTTTAAGAAGGACAATTTATGGGAGGGGCAACATACCCCCGTGTGTATCGGTATCGTAAATACCATACATCAACAATGAAAAATATGTATTGAAGTTTACGATGTTGAGACACGGAAGCGGTGTCTGTGTATGATCTGTATATGCGTTTATCACGCGGCTCGTAAATAATTATCCCCGACTGTTATCGCCATAGCGAGTCACTAGGTACACAATGCATGTTGTAAACAGGTATGTATTCAAGTGTCCTGTTTACAATTCCCGTGTAACTGACAGAGATCGAATTATACCTGGGGAAAGGGGGCAAGAGTAGTTGTGTTGTTTGTTTTCGGAAGATGAACGATCTCTATCTTACTAACAGAGGGAACGCACGTGGATGGAACGCAAGTGCTGTATGAACTCTTCGCTACACTGGCGGGTTGAGAGTGTATACCACTAAAGATCATCCATCATGTTAACGATCATCCAGCCTTCCTGTTGTTGTATTCTTTAACTTGTTTGGAGCTCTATATATCTGGTGGCTCTCAGGCTGAGCATTACAAAGTACGTTACAAAACAGTCATGACTTAAGCAGAGTAAATAACCCCAGCATGTCTAAGGTAAACGATTATATTCGGGAACCGACGCATCCGGTGGATCCAGGGGAAATAACTCCTGTTACTCTAGTGTCGTCGTTCGACGTCATTGTGTGGACGATGTCTTATGCTACAGAGCCGGACTATCGTCTACGACTCGGTGAAATCCGTAACTAGTAACTGTTTTCATTGCGGTCAAGGTTATTGGACTTCTAGTTACCACTAAGCATGTTAAGGGAGGGTACAGACAGTTTTTCTGTATTATGGTATTTCTTTCTGTGTTGCATGCATTGTGTTTCAAGTGGTATTGATGTGTACTTGAAGGTATACGTATGGTGTATTGTCCTTCCTGTTTCCCGTAATCTCTTGAAATATTTTCTCTGTTCGTAAAACGTTTTAGATGCTTTTTGTACCTTCTGATTTGGCTCTTTTCAACCCAATTTGTACAACCCCAAAGACGTTTCTGTGGCCAGTTGTGACCTCGTTTACCCAGCGTGTCATGTTCAGTGAGTTATTTGAGTTGAAGCCGCTTTCAGCAATATCCCAGCTACATCATGAGGGGATTACACCAGAAATGGGCTTCACAGTGTGTACCTATGTGGGGAATCGAACCCGGACCTTCGCGTGACGAGCGAACGCTTCAACCACTGGGCTACCCCGTGGTACCCTCTATTACCCAGCGTGTGACATAGAACGGAGATAGAATGCACCGGATGATCGAGGATGTGTCACTTCCTCCTTAAACACCGTCCTTCAGACACCTGACCAGCCACTCCCCTGCCACACGGATGTGTGAAGATACGCACAGTTCAGTTGGTATCTGAGTAGTTGCCGACAAGAGGTCATCTGACTTGATGTAGCTACCTGTATTGGCTGGCTGGTATCCATGCTCTCCACTTGACCCACTTGGTGTTATTTATCATGTCCTGTTACGTTGTATTTAAACACACTCTACAACCTTGGTCTGTCGTATACCATCAGGGCACGAAGCAGGACTGCCTCACTCACCCATCGTATACCGCCAGGGCATGAGGTAATGCTGCCTCACTCCCACATCGTATACCGCCAGGGCCCGAAGAAAGACTGCCTCACTCACTCGTCGTATACCGCCAGGGCATGAGGTAATACTGCCTCACTCACTCATCGTATACCGTCAGGGTATGAAGTAATACTGCCTCACTCACTCATCGTATACCGTCAGGGCATGACTGACTGACTGACTGGTTTACGCCGCTTTTAGCAATATTCCAGCAATATCACGGCGGGGGACACCAGAAATGGGCTTAACACATTGTGCCCATGTGGGGAATCGAACTCGGGTCTTCGGCGTGACGAGCCAGCCGGGGCATGATATAATATAGCCATACCCACTCATCGTATATTATCAGGGCACGAAGCAGGACTGCCTCACTCACTTATCGTATATTATCAGGGCACGAAGCAAAACTGCCTCACTCACTTATCGTATACCGCCAGGGCATGAGGTAATACTGCCTCACTCACTCATCGTATACCGCCAGGGCATGAGGTAATACTGCCTCATTTAATACATTTCCTCAATTCATCTTTGGCTGACTTTGTGGTACTGAAAAATATTAGTGGTAAGTGGACCTGCTTACAACGACAAGCTCACGTTAAACAACGCTGTACACGAAAAGTACTCGATGGGTGATCACCCTTGGCTCTTGAGGTCGTGACCCACACCGGAGCACGTGCAGCACGTCGGTGTCTCCTTAGGCACTTGAGTATTTGAAATAATCCTGTGCTGATGGAGCAGGGAATGGGTACCCGGTGGGTGATGTGATAATGGGACTATTTTAGCATGTCACATGTCACATGTCACAGGCAGAGAATCACAAATCGTGTGTACACTACGTCATTCAAGGGGGACTCTTATTATTGTTAAAATCATCATCATTATTATTGTTATAATCGTCATCATTATCATTGTTATAATCATCATCATTATTATTGTTATAATCGTCATCATTATCATTGTTATAATCATCATCATTATCATTGTTATAATCATCATCATTATTATTGTTATAATCGTCATCATTATCATTGTTATAATCGTCATCATTATCATTGTTATAATCATCATCATTATCATTGTTATAATCATCATCATTATCATTGTTATAATCATCATCATTATCATTGTGTCATCATCATTATCATTGTTATAATCGTCATCATTATTATTGTTATAATCATCATCATTATCATTGTTATAATCATCATCATTATTGTTATAATCGTCATCATTATTGTTATAATCGTCATCATTATCATTGTTATAATCGTCATCATTATTATTGTTATAATCGTCATCATTATCATTGTTATAATCGCCATCATTATCATTGTTATAATCATCATCATTATCATTGTTATAATCGTCATCATTATTATTGTGTGTTGCAGCCTTCCGACTAAGGCAGGACGACCGCGAGTCCTGGACTGAGGGGTACGACGTGGACGACCCAGTGAGCGGCGACGGCGACTACGAAACGGTTCAATCCATCACCAGGGTGGGTGTTGAGGGTGTTGTAATCCATGTACCCCGACTGGGAACTAAGGGTTGATATAACGCTTGTAGAGCTCCACACTCATGTACTCCGACTTGGAATTAAGAGTTGTTATAACGCCTGAGGAGCTTCACACTCACTTAAATTTGTCGCGCTGCCTATTACCTGAGAAATAATTAACTATTTATTCCCTTGGGGAACCCTATAGCTTTAATATGGTGAGTCGTCACAAGACATTGTGTACGCCATTGTCTTACAGCACCGCCCCTTTCCAGTCATAATAGCCACAGTTTGGAGTCTTAGTCCAACGCGTTCACGATATTTGTAACTAATGGATGAAATAGACGGTTTCGAATTTTTCAAAATGGATCAGTTTTCAAACCCAAGTTAGCCCTGATCACGTTTGTGTATAAAATTACCCTGATACCCCGTCGTGTATTTCTGATCGCATGCATATACATGCATCTACATACCTGCAGCTAGTGGCTACAAGCTACATCTGATCCCTGACACACCCACAAACATGTTTACATTAAGTCACACTGCCAATAAAGCACATATGAAATGTACACCAGGAATTACAGTGTCAAGTACGTTTACACAAGGACAGGACTGACACAGACAACTACACGGCTCGCTCATATCGGAATTTGGAACGAGCCGATCACGGATATAGCACGACCACGCGTTATCCGTGAGTGTTTATCTTTGGGCTCAGCTTTTAAAACTATGCGAAGTATAACTTTACCCCATTTACAGGCTCTGAGACGGAATATCTGCCCATCAACTCACAGAATCAACAGAGCTGACTGCGATGTCGACAACGGTGACGTCGACGACATCGTGAGGGAAGACAGTCTGGCATTGCCCTGCTCCACTGCGGGTCTAGCCTGCAGGAATAGTGACCAGACTTCCGGAATATGCAATAACTACAGAATAAGATTCTTCTGTCAACGTACGTGCCTTTATGTTGCGTGAATACTTACGTTTCTCTGTATGATATATTTTGGAGTTTTTCTGGTTTCACCCATAGTGTGTTCCCCCAGATTATAAATATATAGGATATGTATTCAAGTCTAGATTGCCTAAAGAATGTCCTGGGCTCCTTTGGGATTTGGGATTGTTTTTACATTTTGTTAAATAAGATTTTAATTTAGTGTTTCTAAATTTTATTAAATACGATAACTTTATTTCGGGGACTAAAAGTCAATCGAGTTCCTCACAATAAATTCCGTTGTCCCCAGCAGCATAAGCTGGTTGTAGGAGGCGACCTACGGTAACAGCGGGGTCAGGTTCGGGGACGTGGTTGTTGGCATGTCTGTATTGACATAATACAAAATAGCAAAATACAAAATTCATGCCAACTACCCATGAAGATCCGGGCAGAATGGGTCTTCAGCAACCCATGCTTGCCACAAAAGGCGACTATGCTTGTCGTAAGAGGCGTCTAACGGGATCGGGTGGTCAGGCTCGTTGACTTGGTTGACACATGTCATCGGTTCCCAATTACGCAGATCGATGCTCATGCTGTTGATCACTGGATTGTTTGGTCCAGATTCGATTATTTACAGACCGTCGCCATATAGCTGGAATATTGCTGAGTGCGGTGTAAACCTAAACTCACTCACTCACTCATGCAAACTCTTCATCTCCTCTCCGTTTTTCAGCACTAAACAGGGTCCACACGGAAGGAGACACGACACAAGACGAGGACGAGGAAAGGAATGGTACAAGAAGCGTCCCCCGATTTGACATGCGCATATTTACATCGTCCTCGCGGCTATTCCGGTCGTCATCATCCTGTTCCGTATTTGCTGCTCATGCACCTTAGAGAAGCGACGTCGCCGGAACACACGTTGTACGCGTGCGCGACGTCCAGCTCAAGACGAGGAGGCGGTTCATCCGGAAGTGTTTCTTCCTCCGCCGAGCTATCAGGAACTATTTGGCTTGAATGGAGGGCCTTTCTTGTTATCTCGACATTTTTCTTTGTGCAGAAAGTGCAAATCTTCCCAATGTGGAATTTTTAGAGACAGACATTTGATAAATCTTGACTCTGAAACATCTAACGAATCTCTTTCTACTTCATCTGAAGATGAGCCGGACGTCATGATAACATCGGAAATCACGTCTTCATCCGCGGGGTCTCCGTCATTTTCGAGATCAAGCTCGCTCAGTAAAAGCAATTCTTCCGAAAGCAGTGCCTCCACAACGAACACAGACGCCGAGGCTCCCACCTCTCAAACAGTCCAGCCTGCTCAGTGTGACTGCCCTTGCCATAAACAAGCACCGGAAGTCAGTGTTTATGACAATCCCGCATATGAACCGGAAGTAGAGATAAAGAATGGCCGATCATCACGGATACCGGGGATGCATTTGCCTGTATTCTCTTTATTTAGGTCCACATCTGCTTCCTCCGTGGAAGAAGCCCCACCTCCAACCTACAAGGAAGCTGTGACAATATTGAAACTGAACGAAAACGGCTCTCGTTGAAACACTGTTGTTTGTTCGTCAGAAACACATGCGGGCATGTCCAGCTATCTCGTATTGATATTCAGGGCTGGTCCTTGAAATATGAAAAGCCCATCTGATTACGTGACTACTCGTCAAAGTTACATCCTTCCAAGTGAAATCCTACACCAAAGGGAGATAACTATTTATGAAGATAGATGACAGAGTAATATTATAATGTTGAAATGTATTCGTGTATCTGTTATAACATTGATATTATGTTTGTGTTATGATAGTTGCTCAAGCTAGTGTACACTGTGAACTTCAACCAGACAATCCTTCACTGACCTCCCTATATACAGTATCACCTCTCATTATCAGTTCATGTGTGAGGCATGGGTAGAAAGTTTCCCAAGTATATATGTATATCGCTCTTTACTGTTCTCAGCTGTGAAGGAAACTCCTAGTTCGTGGGTCGATGCTGACACTGGGTTTGCCTGTCCCAGATGAACATTACCTTTGAAGGCGTTGTGCTTCCACTACGACGGTGTAGAGCTAGCGGTGTATATCCCAGAGAAAGGTCTGCGGATTAAAACTCAAACCGGAATCACACGTATATATGTTTGACCCAAGGGAATGTCCACTTTGTAGAGCTGTGATGTTCAACAGACACTGCTACACGAACATGACTTTGAAGTTTGAAATTTGAACTTTGTACCTAGACTGAATTACAGGCGAGGCCAGTGAGACACGTAAGGAAGATCCTGTGTGACCCGTGACAAAGCAGCGTGTATCTTGTTCTTGTGCTGCTGGGAGGTATGTTGTTACGAGATATGTTGACGTGATGCTGTGACGTCAAATTGAATTTCCCCATGCGCTTTGGAGTCACTACACCAGGGGAGATAACCTGTATCATCCAATGTCAGCATGCTTGTTTTTCTGAGAAATTGACTTATTGTTGGATCTGTTACTCAAAATGGAGGCAATCAAAACCACGAAACTGTTTGTTCCCTGTGGAAACCGTGATTACCATACTAATAACAACAGTAATAACGCGATGTGTTAGTTTGCTATTGACGTCATGGACAGCACATATTATGACATCCTTGTTTAATAAAATAAACCAAATACTGAATGGATATTGTGTCGTATATATGTTGTAGTAGCAATGTACATGATCCATTCTGGGTCCGACATAACTGCTTGACATCGTCAGCATCTATCGCACTCGGGACGTGAATCAAGCAGATATCAAGCAGAAACATAGCCTGAGTTAACCAGGATTCGAACCCGAAACCACATGTTAACGTGACAATGTATAACACTCAAAGAATGCTAAAGGGGGAGTTTAGATGATATTAACAAGTCGTTCAACAAATAATGCTTCCAATATGTCAGAACACGATGATTGGGTAACTCTTGTAGGTCATCTGGGTCTTGCCTTATCCGTCGTAGACTGTTTTGCACTAGGGTAAATATAGGGTGCAATGTGCAACTACATTATCTCCCTTAGTTCGCCAGGATCAGCCGCGGCTCGCACGTTTTACTGCAATCACATAAGTAAACTGTTGATGCAGAATTTTCTCCAGCAGTAACTGGAAAACTGATGAAAGTGATAAAACCCAATAAACTCAATTTCAATGCACTCATATTGACCTATGATTATATGACACCTATATATGTGGCTGTCCATATTGTCGAATACTTTCATACTTTCAAGGGCAGGTCTGAAATATCAAAATGGTATGGAATCCCAGAAGGGACATTGTCGAGTTGTCATTGCAAACCCATTTAAAACCTGACATCGATCCGCAACAGTATATTCCTTTCATGATTCCATCACTTTGTGGAATGGGTGATTGAGGTTTTACACAACTTTTAGCAATATTGCAGGCGCAGACGATGCAGACATCGTACCCATGTGGGGAATCGAACACGGGTCTTCGGCGTGACGAACGAACACTTTAACCACTAGACTACCTCACCGCCCCCACTTCGTGGAGGAGAAAGGAGCGTGACTGTGTTCGTGCACCTGTTGGGAACACTGATAGAATATCGCTGTATGCTGTGTTACTAACAACAGACACGGAAATTGATAATATTATTCGTAAATCATTAACATGCGTAGGTAATTTCCAGTGGTTCAGATACGGTCGTCGTGAGGATCTAATTTGATGAAGCTACACTATAAGTCTTCACTGTTTGTAGTTTAACACCGCACTACACCTTCAAGGTGGCGTTAAAAATCTAATCTGAAACAAGTCAGTTAGGTTCTATTGCGCCAATCATCAATTCTTCTGTACCAGAGACCCAATTGTGGCAGTAACCTATAGTTACTGTAGCAGAGGCCCCCTTATGGCAGTAACCTATAGTTTCTGTAGCAGAGCCCCCTTGTGTCAGTAACCTATAGTTTCTGTAGCAGAGCCCCCTTGTGGCAGTAACCAACATTTACTGGAGCGGAGGCCCACTTTTGGTAGATGCCCGCCTGTGGCAGTAGTATAGTATGTATGGACCGATCCCAGGAGAGAACATTCCACGCCAATAACCGCTGTTTAAAGTTAGTTCCACTACAAAAGTGAACGGGTATGGTTAATCCGTTTTTAACGCTTTTCAAGACTTTCAACAGTCTCAACATTCTCAAGATGTTTGTATTAGTTGGGTGGCATGACTTACTCCTACTTCGTGTAAATCCGGCATATGTAAGCAGTAAACCCCATAATGCAGTCTGAACACAACACGATTTATAATCATAAACCAACAAATAAAATACATTAAGTCTGTTAGGAATTTCTGTACTTTTATGAGCAAGTATATATCATGCAGTACAAATTAAATGCTTTTCAAGTGAGTTTTGTGATTGACATATCTTTTTAAGATTGAACCAGCTAGGTATGACAGTCAGCACTGAACTATGTCTGCTAGCGATCTTATTATCGGCACCCGGAGCTCGCTCAATGCACCCTGCCTCAAAAGCATTTCAGTCCGTTGGGAAGCGACCATTTTCCTGTCCTTGTAACAGTAGGCAATATAGATAACGAAAACCAGAAAAATCCACAAGAACCAAAATTCTAAAACAAAGCCCGCTCGTTCGAAAATTTGTGTAACTAGGTAAACCAAACTGAACAAGAAAACAAAGACCAGGACAATTTTTGCCAAAACCTAACACACTGCATCATATATAAAGCTAAAGAATTCATTCCTTTAAAATGCCTACAATAGATAACCCTTCAGTATTGTGGTGCATCAAAACAATCAAACAGACCAGGAAAAAGTGCACTGTACACTGCTGTATACACAGTGGTGTGGTTCCCACTTATCCAGTGCCAGGTTACATCAGTCGGGTAGCGTACACAGTGTAAAACATCATGTCATACAGTGTATGCAATATGTCATGCATACATTCATACCAGAATCCACTAAGGTTACAATACTTGAAAATAGTACCATGCTATATACACCTCTACAACCCTATACGCTGGTACATGCAGCAATACACAACTATATATATATGACATTTACACCACAGCTAAACAATGCCATAGTATAACATGATAGTATACTACAATGTCACGTACACCATGACACAGTGTTATATACAGATATTCAGCTTCCAGATATGTTTCCTCTCTTGCATGACAGACAGTTTCTGATGCGTTCATCAGTAAAGGTCATATCTGCACACCTAAGACAAGATCACAAGCATTACAGTGTTTCCAATGTAACGACATCGCAAATTGTGTTAGTTTCATCTATCAGTTGTCAGATCTGCGCCAGGGATACAAGGAGATGATAAACATCATAGCGTCCTCTTTCTACTGTCACCATTATTGGTGTTTGGTTTGAGTGTCCTCCCCGTCTGTTGATGTCCAATGTTTTCAAGGATAGGATGTGTTTCACAATAGATATGTTACCTCCTTCACATGTCAACATCAGGCAGTTAGTCTTGAATGTATCAGTAAGGGTCAGATCTGCACCCTCAGATACAAGGAGACGATAGACATCATAGTGTCAACCCCGTCTGTTGATGTCCAATGTTTTCATTGATAGGATGTGTTTCACAATAGATATGTTACATCTTTTTACATGTCAACATCAGACAGTCAGTGTTGAATCAACCAGTAAGGGTCAGATCTGCGCCCTCAGATACAAGGAGATGATAAACATCATAGTGTCTTCTTTTCAATGCCATCATTATTGGTGTTTGGTTTGACATGCCTCCCCGTCTGTTGATGTCACATATTTTCATTGATAGGATGTGTTTCACAATAGATATGTTACCTCCTTCACATGCCAACATCAGACAGTCAGTGTTGCCTTTATCAGTAAGGGTCAGATCTGCGCCCTCAGATACAAGGATATGATAAACATCATAGTGTCCTCTTTCTACTGCCATCATTATTGGTGTTTGGTTTGACTTTCCTCCCCGTCTGTTGATGTCCCATGTTTTCAAGGATAGGATGTTTTTCACAATAGATATGTTACCTCCTTCACATGCTAACATCAAACAGTCAGTGTTGTCTTCATCAGTAAGGGTCAGATGTGCGCTCTCAGTTACAAGAAGATGATAAACATCATAGTGTCCTCTTTTCAATGCCATCATTATTGGTGTTTGGTTTGAGATTCCCCCCCGTCTGTTGATGTCCCATGTTTTCAAGGATAGGATGTGTTTCACAATAGATATGTCACCTCCTTCACAGGCCAACATTAGGCAGTCAGTGTTGTGTTCATTAGTAAGGGTCACATTTGCACCCTCAGAAACAAGGAGATGATAAACATCACAGTGTCCTCCTTCTACTGCTATCATTATTGGTGTTTGGTTTGAGATTCCTCCCTGTCTGTTGATGTCACATGTTTTCATTGAAAGGATGTGTTTCACAATAGATATGTTACCTCCTTCACATGCCAACATCAGGCAGTCAGTGTTGTCTTTATCAGTAAGGGTAAGATCTGCGCCCTCACATACAAGAAGATGATAAACTCCATAGTGTCCACTTTCCAATGCCATCATTATTGGTGTTTGTGTTGACTTTCCTCCCCGTCTGTTGATGTCACATGTTTCCAAGGAAAGGATGTGTTTCACAATAGATATGTTTCCTCCTTCACATGCCAACATCAGGCAGTCAGTGTTGTCTTTATCAGTAAGGGCCAGATCTGCGCCCTCACATACAAGGAGATGATAAACATCATAGTGTCCTCTTTCCGATGCAATCATTATTGGTGTTCGGTTTGACTTTCCTCCCCGTCTGTTGATGTCCCATGTTTTCATTGATAGGATGTGTTTCACAATAGATATGTTACCTCTTTGGCATGCCAACATCAGGCAGTCAGTGTTGTCTTCATCAGTAAGGGTCAAATCTGCGCCCTCAGATACAAGGAGATGATAAACATCATAGTGTCCACTTTCCAATGCCATCATTATTGGTGTTTGGTTTGACTTTCGTCCCCGTCTGTTGATGTCCCATGTTTTCATTGATAGGATGTGTTTCACAATAGATATGTTACCTCCTTCACATGCCAACATCAGGCAGTCAGTGTTGTCTTTATCAGTAAGGGTAAGATCTGCGCCCTCAGATACAAGAAGATGATAAACACCATAGTCTCCTCTTTTCAATGCCATCATTAATGGTGTTTGGTTTGACATTTCTCCCCGTCTGTTGATGTCACATGTTTCCAAGGATAGGATGTGTTTCACAATAGATATGTTACCTAGTTGGCACGCCAACATTAGGCAGTCAGTGTTGAATCTATCAGTAAGGGTAAGATCTGCTCCCTCAGATACAAGAAGATGATAAACATCATAGTGTCTTCTTTTCAATGCCATCATTATTGGTGTTTGGTTTGACATTCCTCCCCGTCTGTTGATGTCCCATATTTTCAAGGATAGGATGTGTTTCACAATAGATATGTTACCTGTTTCACATGCTAAAACCAGACAGTCAGTGTTGAATCTATCAGTAAGGGTCAGATCTGCGCCCTCAGATACAAGAAGATGATAAACACCATAGTGTCCTCTTTCCAATGCCATCATTATTGGTGTTTTGTTTGACATTCCTCCCGGTCTGTTGATGTCCCATGTTTCCATTGATAGGATGTGTTTCACAATAGATATGTTACCTCCTTCACATGCCAACATTAAGCAGTCAGTGTTGTCTTCATCAGTAAGGGTCAGATCTGCGCCCTCAGATATAAGAAGATGATAAACATCATAGTGTCTTCTTTTCAATGCCATCATTATTGGTGTTTGGTTTGACATTCCTCCCCGTCTGTTGATGTCCCATATTTTCAAGGATAGGATGTGTTTCACAATAGATATGTTACCTCCTTCACATGCCAGCATCAGGCAGTCAGTGTTGAATCCACCAGTAAGGGTAAGATCTGCGCCCTGAGATACAAGGAGATGATAAACGTCATAGTGTCTTCTTTCTACTGCTATCATTATTGGTGTTTTGTTTGACATTCCTCCCGGTCTGTTGATGTCACATATTTTCAAGGATATGATGTGTATCACAATAGATATGTTACCTCCTTCACATGCTAACATCAGACAGTCACTGTTGAATCTATCAGTAAGGGTCAGATCTGCGCCCTCAGATACAAGGAGATCATAAACATCATAGTGTCCTCTTCCTACTGCCATCATTATTGGTGTTTGGTTTGACTCTCCTCCCCGTCTATTGATGTCCCATGTTTTCATTGATAGGATGTGTTTCACAATAGATATGTTACCTCCTTCGCATGCCAACATTAGGCAGTCAGTGCTGAATCTATCAGTACGGGTCAAATCTGCGCCCTCAGATACAAGGAGATGATAAACATCATAGTGTCCTCTTTGCAATGCAATCATAATTGGTGTTTGGTTTGAGTGTCCTCCCTGTCTGTTGATGTCCAATGTTTTCATTGATAGGATGTGTTTCACAATAGATATGTTACCTCCTTCACATGCCAACATCAGACAGTCAGTGTTGAATCTATCAGTAAGGGTCAGATCTGCCCCCTCACATACAAGGAGATGATAAACATCATAGTGTTCGCCTTCCGCAGCAAACATAGCTGGTGTTTTGTTCAATTCGCTCTCTTTCTTGTTTACATCATATATTTTCAATGAAATTAAGAAGTCCACAGTTGACAGATTGCCATTTTGACATGACAAATGCAAACAGTCTTTCCCGCGTGTACATGTTAAATCGGCTCCTTTTTCTTTGAGGAACTTCAGAATATTAAGCTGACCTGTTTTTGCACAAATCATTGCAGGCGTTAAATTCTCATAATTCATCAAATTAATCAATGCAGGGCATGTTTCCACCACCTTCGTTGCCAATGCCATGTTTTCTGATTCACAGGCATAATGCAAACAGGTGTTTCCTTTCCAGTCCCTCACTGGAATATCAGCACCTTTCTGTATGAGAAAGTTGAACACCTTGGATTTTGGTGACTTTGCAGCCATGAGCAGGAGGGTTGTCCCATGGATGGTATATTCAACATTAAATCCTCCATGTTTACCCATCACTGTAACGAGGTGTTCCAGATGTTCCAGTTTGTCGTGGGTAACACAGGCTACCACACATGCATACAGATCAGGAGCTCTGTCACCCAGTCGTACAGCAACTTCTAAAGACTTGGAGAATAGAAAGTAACTGTCAGAGAGGGAAGTCAAATACAAAAAGCTTTCACCAGTGTCCACATCCCTTCGCAGGACAGTCTCAGCTATGTTATCATTGATCTCTGTCCAAAGCAGAGAAACAATGCTTTCATCACGGAGAACTGGGTGTTTTACTGTCCAAATGAAGCATCCTTGCCGGATACCTTCCACCAATCTGTTCACTACTGTTGGGTGTAGTTGGGGAGTGATGGAAATCATGTTTGTGACATCGTCCATGCCTGTTGACTCAGAACTCTTATCCAATCTCACTCTTTCATACAAGAACTTCAGGGAGCAGTGTTCCAGCAGCAACACGATATTCAGATGTCCTACAGCACAGGCTGCAGCATCGTATATGGATGGGTGGGAGAAAGATGCCATGTGATCCTCCACTGTACAGTAGATCCCAGTAAAGTTGTAGATCTCATTGGCAATGCCTGTCCTTGTACAACAAGGAACTACTTCCTTCACAGCATCAAACATTTCATGTCCAGTTTTCCGTGACTGCAAAGAAACAAGATTCAGTTTCCCATCACAAAGGATGAGGAGGATGATTGCTGCCGATCTATTGCTTCCCTCCCGGACAATGGTGTCAAGGTCGCCTCTCAGGTAGGTCAGCGGATGGTTGAAGAATTTCAGGTTATGCATCTGGAAGACAGCATTGGTGAAAAACAGTCTGCTGATAAGAGGAAATCCAAATATGCTGTGTTTTGAATCTGCGATGATACAAATATCTTTCTCAGAGATATCGCATGCAGGGTGTTTGGACTTGTAGGACCATAACACACGTTTCTTTTCTTCCATCGTGAGACAGTCTTTAGCCATATCAAGAACAGCTTCTGTTGTAAGCAGATTCACCTTGTACTGATGTAGTCTGGAACAACCTTCCTTCCAGTTGTATGTCCTGGATGTGAACACAAGCTTCAGTCTGTAGACAGGGATTTCTTCATTAGATTTGTCTTTCTGTATTGATTGTTCTTCCTTCTTCTTCTTTGAAACCCCTATATCTGCAGCTGTTTTAGTACGATCATCACCCAAAGCACTAAACAATTTATGCAGTTTTTCCAAGTTTGAAATGAATGTAACAGAGCCAAATATATCATCAAAAACAACCAACATGTGTGATTGACGTTTAGAAATTGTATCAACATCAAAGTGTTCAATGTTTTCCACAAAGACTGTTTCATATCCTAGTGGCCGATATGCCTCACAGATCATCAGAGCAATGCTGGTCTTCCCATCCCCCGGGGCTCCACAGATGCTGACATGGCCATGCTTCTCAAGGAGTTGTTTGGCTGTCTGGAGGGCATGGATGTCAACAAAATACTTCTTTAGGTGTTCCATCTTCTGACAGAAACGTTCTGTGGGTGAAGGAAACTACAACTGAGTGACAGTTAATGCGGTCGGTGTTTGAGTCTGATGCTGTTACTTCGTAGAAGCATAACCCCAACAATTTCCATCTTCCATCACCACATGAGAGTATCGTCTTACACGCATTTATCTTAATCGCTCCATAATGAAAATACTGTAAATATTTTAGATCAAATGTTCTTTCTTCAGGACATCCATCATGTCTGAACAATTGTTTCTGAGATAAAACCTGAGAATGAATCTCAAGTTATATGGGAAGGTTTTTATGGATTTTCAAGCCCCTGGAAATCAATAAGTCAACCCTTATTTCGTATGGCCATGCAAACTTGCCCTCTTTTTTAAGGATAACCCGTTTGAGCAGCAACATAATGGATAAAAAACAGCACTCAAGAGATGCGATTGTCATCATTGTCCTCTTTATCAAATAATCAGAATGTTTGTGCATCATCTCACCTTGTGACACACATCCTCCAGTTCTTTGCTCTCCAACGGAGACGGAGACATTGGAAGCATTGGTCAAGTCTACCTGAGACACTGGACCACCTGCAACAAAACAAGTTAACCTCTGGTCTCAATATTCTCACGATCCCCATCCTGTCATTCTAACAAATTGTTTCACTTTGATCAGTTCTTTCTCGCTCAGTTCTTTATTGTTACGTCATCTCCTACTAATACTCTCTTATCTAACGGCATGTATGACATTGAGAGTATAAATACTCACTGTAGTTGTGCTGTATGGCTGATACAGAAGTGAGTTGTCTCCCCTGTTGATTCCTCCTCAGTACTTCAGCTGTTTCCTCAGTAGGCCGCCTGGTCATCTGATGGTCACGTGAGTCGGGATTTTCTTCCATTGCTCACTGTTCTGAAGGTAAACTACAGTTACTACACGTGTCACATATGACTGGGGACATTGATCAAGCTACAATACATTCCACATGGGTCTGATCTTTACATGTTAAAAGAGCTTTCTGTAGCAGTGTATGCAGTCCGGTCTACCAGATCATGCAACATCGTGTGAAATGATTCGTTGAAAGATCTTTCACATTTCAAAGTTATACGCACTTCCGGTCTAATAACCCCGACAATTAAGGGCTGCGGGAAACATGTTGGAAATACACAGAGCTACTCATATTAGGACAATGCAGCATACAGTGTGTACTTGTTCTTGTTTTGGTTTGGTGTGTTCCTGTTTACTGTTCCTTACAGCAAGAGAACAGCTTTCATGGTTGGACAAAAGAGCACACAGTTACGGACAGCTGTATTATTTGAAAACTGTTACATAGGGGTGGGGTGGGGAATGGAGAAGGGAAGAGGAGCATTCTATTCAAAACCGCAGTTCAATTGTTTGTTTGGTTTGTTGAGAATACATTTCTTTTTGACGTTAGCGTCTTTGATTATCGCCAGGAGATTGTCTGGTGACAGGGCATTACCCGAAATATAAGTGTATCACTGGCTAATATGCAGTATGTAAGTGAGTGAGCAGCTTATAATGTGATGGCTATCCTAATATAACAGTTGTGACAGTTCATACCAAAGACAGAAGGAGATTCAGTTTTCTAGTCATTGACAGTCTTATTTGTTAATTGGTGGTTGACACAAGCGGTTGTTTCAAAGTATAAATGTCATCATTTTTAACTGTTTTTTACACTTTTTTACACTTTTACATGATTGAAAATAGGACAATGGACCCCACCTAAAGAAACATGTCCATATCCTCATTATCAATGACTTCCTCAGTCTGATGTTTTGACTCAATCAAAAAACAAAGTCTTCAATCCATATAACATTTTTGGATATTCTAATGTTCAAAGGTGTAACATTTCTTTTGGCATTCAGTTTATGTATGTTAAGAAAACTGGTTCCTATTATTTCATCAGCAGTATACTTAAGTATGTATATTGTTATCAATGCAAGTTGGCACAAAAAGGTATAGACTGTTGAGATAATAATTTGCTGTCAGCGTGACTGTGGACAGGTTGGATAGAACAAGGTGTTGAATCAACAAGTGTATTGATAGTGATGGCCCCGTGAAGATCTGGGCTAGAATTGATCTTCAGTAACCCATGCTTGTCTCCCCGTGAAGATCTGGGTTAGAATTGATCTTCAGTAACCCATGCTTGTCTCCCCGTGAAGATCCGGGTTAGAATTGATCTTCAGTAACCCATGCTTGTCTCCCCGTGAAGATCCGGGTTAGAATTGGTCTTCAGTAACCAATGCTTGTCTCCCCGTGAAGATCAGGGCTAGAATTGATCTTCAGTAACCCATGCTTGTCTCCTCGTGAAGATCCGGGTTAGAATTGATCTTCAGTAACCCATGCTTGTCTCTCCGTGAAGATCCGGGTTAGAATTGGTCTTCAGTAACCAATGCTTGTCTCCCCGTGAAGATCAGGGCTAGAATTGATCTTCAGTAACCCATGCTTGTCTCCTCGTGAAGATCCGGGTTAGAATTGATCTTCAGTAACCCATGATTGTCTCCCCGTGAAGATCCGGGTTAGAATTGATCTTCAGTAACCCATGCTTGTCTCCCCGTGAAGATCTGGGCTAGAATTAATCTTCAGTAACCCCTGCTTGTCTCCCCGTGAAGATCCGGGTTAGAATTGATCTTCAGTAACCCCTGCTTGTCTCCCCGTAAAGATCTGGGCTAGAATTAATCTTCAGTAACCCATGCGTGTCTCCCCGTGAAGATCCGGGTTAGAATTGATCTTCAGTAATCCCTGCTTGTCGTAACAGCCGTCTAACGGGATTGGGTGGTCAGGCACGCTGAACTGGTTGACACATGTCATCATATCCCAACTGTATAGGTCAGTGCTCATAAAGTCAATCACTGGATTGTCAGGTCCAGATATTCAGTTGTCCCAAACTTCTACCCTTAGTGCTTAATTGTATATGTCGATGCTCATGATGTCTGTCCCAGACTTGATTATTTAGAGACCGCCTTTTCTTCACCGCTATCACAGTTAAATGTTCAACCTGCTGATCCACATTATACCAGTGTAAATTTCATTGTGTAAATACCAGTGTAAAATGAAATATGCTGTCAATGTTGTCTATAAATACTTGAATTTCTCTGATAATAATTAACTAAACCTAAATGGAATCGAAATATTCATACAGTTTTCATTACAGTACATTTAGCAGTAGATGTTTTTGCGTCAGATGGAACACTGGCAGCACCATGGCAGGCTATAGTGACGAAAGACGGACACATCTCATTCGTCACCAACTCGTGTCATTCCAGGACAAGCCGAATAGCCACATGTGCCCCTCTGCAAAGGATCTGATATTGTCGCAAGAACATCAAAACTACTTTAAACAAGAACAATATCTCTATTTTTGTTTGATATCAATGATACTTAATATCACCAAAGCACTATTATATTGCATTGCTGATTTTGTTTACATTTATTTGGTTCAAAGAATTGCATCTGTTTGACATATTCAAACATAATCATTGCCAGCTGTTATAAGCCAGCCTTATATTTTCATATCTACATTTCTGAATAGGGTTTAAGAATCACAAATGGGATTTTTTTTGTTGAATATGCAAATAAATAATCTTTTTTTTTCAGCTACATTAAATTCCAAAGCAGATACTCAAAAGTTACATTAAAATACTTCTTAAACTGAACATACTTCTCAAACTGAACATTCGTGTTGTCTTGCTGCGACACCCCTTTTTTTCATTTTATAATGAATATGCTGAAAAATATATTAATGATCCCTAAAAAGTCAGACTAAAATATGTCCAGAGATGTGAAAGACAAGCCCAATGTTCACGATTAAAGTTAATTAGGTTTTTGTAGATATAACATTACTGTCTTGAAACTCTACATACAAGTTTAGACTCACTTAAAGCACTCACTATATGCTATTTACATATATATGGTTACATCGAAGATGAATTTCTCCACTAACTTGGGGAAACCAACTGCAATTTTGTGCAGATCACTTGCACGAGGAGCATGCAAAAAATTATGACCAGCATGTGCAAACATCATGCATGTGAACAGCTGCGTTTTGGTGTGATTTGTGTTAAGGATTCGTCAATTTTCACTCAGTTTTATCATTTACTGAATTCATGACAAAAATCTTTTCAACGTTACGAATTTGTGTTACAATGCATCAGTTCATGTGTAAACAATACCTTTAAACAGTATGGAATATTTTGCAAAATCTATTTCAGATCAGTTGACTGAATTAAGTGGCTACATTTACACCAGTAGTATATTTATAATTATGGACCTTTCCAATAAGTTCTTATCTCCCCCTGGTTTATCATCCCCCCCTTGCGAACTCTTTCGCAAAAAGAGATAGAACGGCGCTTGACGTTCATTTCCGTAGAGGTTTTTGGAAAATGAACGGAACAAACACGAAACAGCGACATTACTGCACCGTCAGCTCTAGGGGCGTTGGGGTAGCCTAATGGTTAAAGCGTTCTCTCGTCACGTCGAAGACCCGGGTTCGAATCCCTACATGGGTACAATGTGTGAAGCCCATTTCTGGTGTCCCCCGCCGTGATGTTGCTGGAATATTGCTAAAAGCGACGTAAAACCAAACTCAGGCAGTCAGTCCAACTACAGAGGAAAGGAGATAGAAGGACGCGGAGTGACACTACATAGATTTCCAGCAAATGAATTATTGAAGAAAGCCTGGATTCAACGGCTCAAATTGGTGAAAAAAGATTACAAACCCTAGACCACCCACTGCCTATGTTCTGAGCACTTCAAGGATGGACATTTCAAACGGAATTTAATACCATCCATTTTCGGGAAAAAGACGTTATACACATACCTGGTAAAGTCTACATAAACGTTACACACACATTCTCCATTTTCGTGTTTTCTGACACTTGAGAAACATTCATTTCTATATTTCTAATGACATGAACGACCATAACATATCTCACCAACATAGTCTACAAGGGATAACTTTGTCCCTAACACAAGCAATCTTTGAAGAATTTAAAATGTCTGTTTCATGCAACATCCCTCCTTATAGCCGGAGTAAACGCTGCCGTTCGGGAATGTATGCTTCCCAGAAAAACTGTGATCCGGAGACATATATTGATATAATTCGAAATTATAGGAAGTAGCAATATTTTTTGTAAAATGTTTACAGTCAACCTTCGGACAGAGAATATACATATTTGCAATGATCATGACTTATCTTTAATCAGATTCATCACAATATTCTTGTTAATCCTGAGAATGGACACCTTTCGTAAAGATTTGTGACTCATTATGATTGTTATATTTATGGAATTTTCAGTTTGAACACAGCTCTAATGAGAGTACCATACAAAACTAGGCAGCCAAACCAACAGGTGAGCAATCCAGGGACAGTGGAAATGGGAATGATCATACTGCGTCAGACCATCAGAAGATTAATTTAAAGTCGTCAGGATCAAGGGTGGAAGCTTCAGTCGTCATGCATGGTTGTTGTGGACAGATTGAAGATCATATCACAAGTCATCTTGTAAACAAACGTGAACAGACTGATTTTCATCCCGTAGGTATTGATGTATCTACTCAGACAGATATCTTTGATAGTTTCTGAATGACTGATTCAACACACACATTGCATGATGCTATCGAAATACCGATATCAAAGCCGAACATGGTTAATGTGGAAATTCAGTGTAACAAGCCTGTGCTAACACATGAAGATGTCTCCTCCAGTGAAAAATTCTCATTTTACACAGGAATCCCCAACCCAGGAGTGTTTAAAGCCTTATTTGATGAGATGGGTGATGCCTTAGAGCATACAACTAGAAGTAATTATTCAAGTGAATCAGAATTTAGTCGTCCACGCCCCTTATACAAGTGGCTAGACTATTTAAGTATAAAACTGTCTTCTTTGACAG